TGGGGCCACCCAGCACCCATGACGGGGTGGCTGCGTTTCAGCCCTCTGCTCCCCCACAGGGCTTAGGCATGGGTGGGGGGGGTCCTGCCCAGACCACCAGCACCCATCGGAGCAAAGCTGTGGGGCAGCAGCACCCGACAATGTGGTCCTGCCTGTTTGGTGGCCACTGGCACCACAGGGATGGGGTTTTTAACCCAAATGCGCTTGGGAAGGACGAGATGCAGAAAACGCTTGCCCAAGGTTTTAAAAGCGAGCAGTTTGGAGGCAGCGCAACACTGAGCGCTCCCCCCGTGGGGCAGGTCGGACCCCTTTGCCCCTGGCACGGACCACGCAGCTGTAATTCATCCCGGGCAGCTGCTGAGCCTGCCAGCGGGATTTCCTCCGCATGGTGTAACGTGCTCACGTGGAGCATCCCGAGGGCCCAGGCGATGTGAGCGGCTTGGAGGTAAATCCCTCCTGTGTTCATGCTCCGCACAACAAAAACCACGATGCCCTTTCGAGTGTGGCCGTGCGCAGGGTTGGCAGCCGAGGCGAAGGCACTGCCGGGAGGGATGGGGCTCAGGGTTGGAGGCCAAGGGTGGGGTGATGGCTCAAGAAATGCCCCTTTTCCTCCATTTTCTTAAAACTCAGTGTGTTTAACCCTTTGTGCTATTTAGCACTACACCCACAAAGCCCAAAGGGACATGCTCGCGAAAGATCGCACATCCCTGTCAATGTGCAGAAAGCCTCTGCTCTTGCATGCGAGCTCGCCCTGCGTGTTGAGCACGCAAGAGGGATTTCAAGCTGGTTTGACACTCTGAAGCCACCTTTGCTGCATCGATCGGGCTCCGGGCAGAAGCTCGTCTGGCGCTGACACCCCTCTCCGGCTGGCTGCCCTCTGGTTTTCCCAGCCGGCTGGACCATGCTCCACCGCTGACCTAAATGCAAAAGGAAGAACCTGTTTATCTCATGCCCGAGATATAACTCAGGAGTCAACATTGTCACCTCCTCTGTCACCCTGTTCCCAACCCAGCCGGCATCCCGCCTGGGTTTTTTTGGGGGATGCCACCGGGATCAGCAGCGGGAGAAGAATGTCCGCGCGCCACTCCTGTTCTCGCAGGGGGACGCGGGGAGGCTTGGCATGTTCACCTCTCAACCCTCACCCGGCGAGGGCAGGGAAGGGGGACTCGTTCCACAGCGATATTCGATTACTTTGCAAAGCAGCGACCTTTACGTGTGCCCCCAGCCACACCATCTTCCAGGAAGCATTTCTACGACGTCCTCTCCCGCCCGTTACTGGAGGCTCCTGGGGAAAGGAGTCCCCTCCACCTGTTAACGACAGGCTCGTGACCTGGCAGCGGCACACTTCGCACCAGACAACAAGAAACCAGGGGAATTTTATTGAAACACAACCACTGGAGAGCAGTACAAAAATAACTTAGCTCAGTCTGCAAAAAAGTCCGTTATCCAAAAGGTACCCAACATAAAAATGTACAAAAATAATTTAGAATACAGAAGTTCCACATTTCTAGTAAAGCCCTTCTGTACACACATCAGTATTTTACAGTATCCTTGGCCTGTATTTACACAAGCACCTTGGGCACATACATTTCTCTAGAATCAGCAAATTATGCTTCCCTCCAACTACTTTTGAAAGGCCACCGGGGAGGGAGCTCATCTTCCCTCCCCACCCACAGCACCCACCGGCAGAGAGGCAACAGTTCTCTGCTTGCCAGTGGGATGGCAAACGTCTGATGTTCTCTATCCTTTGGTTGAAGAAAAAGGAGCTGTCTCAAAATGGGATGCTTTGTGTTTACTCTCAAAAGCAAAAGGTTAATTAGAGAAATTTCACATGAAAAATACCAAAAATGGAGTATCTGGAGACCAAGTAACAGCTCATCGGTTACCCAAAGCGGTGAGTCTCATCGGGACCTGCCCTTGCAAGACACATGGTCTCTCAGCTTCCCTTGGTTGACCTCAAGGCTTTAAGTCCCTCTAATGGGATACCAATTAGGCAAATTAAAAATCAGAGCCTGAAACCTACAGCTTCCATCTCCTTTTCCCTGGAAGACCTGGCGTTTGCCGATGTGTCAGGCCGCAGCTCGGGAAGCAGCCACAGAGAGGGCCTCTGGCCAATGCTATTCCTTCTTGGACAGCTGAGTAGAGAAGATCCTGGCGATTCTTTTCGTTTCCTCTTCCGAGAGATCAGCCGTGGGCCTGGGACGATTCGGCCTTCGGTACGGGATGCCCCCTGGCACTGCTCTGCTTCTGCTCTGCGGAGAGAAGGAACAAGACGTTAGAGCCCTGCCAGCTCTGCCCCGCGCCTGTTTTCTGATCGCAGCAGCGTCGTGCAGCATGCGAGAAGTTGGATACACAGAAAAAAACCAACAACCCCTCATGATGTGTTTTCTGTTGCTCACCAGTTCTCCTCGGAAGGGTTTTTCTCTTGTTCCACTCAGTGACAGGCAACTGTTTGGAAAAAAAACCTGTTTCTTCCAACTGTTTGGAAAAAAAAAAAGCCCACGATGGTGAAATATTTCCCTGCTCCGCACTATATTAGATACTGCAATGCTATTCCTTCTCAGTGCTACAGAATGCTAAAGCTGAAGGCCAAAATTAGAAAGTCCAAACCACAGAGTTTTGCTCTGGCAAGCGAACTGTGAACTTGTGAATGCCTACCCTCAGCCAAAGTCACCTTCTATGAAGCCAAAAGAATTACACCAGTGTATTCACCAGGCTCTGACTCTCTGAATTTTTATTTTATATTATTTATTTATATTATTTTATTTTTAATTTGCAGAACACTAAAATACAAACCACCTTGCAAGGGAGAGGCACTGCCCCTACATAACAAATCCAAGCCTGCTGACAGATTAGACTGGCCAGTCTCAGTTACCTGCAGGAACCCCTAAGCAGCAGCCCACGAGATGAAAAACCACCGTTTCAAGCATTTTAACATCATCCTTGGTTTGCCTGCATCCTCCCAGCAGTCAGGCTTTCTCCCAGATGTCAGTACCACTAAAGACGAATATTTTCAGTGTACAAAGAAACTCGCATTTCTCCCCAATTAGTTTAAAGCCAGGTCATGCCTGTGAAGCACCGGGAGAGGAAAGATCCAGCTTCAGCTGCCTTTAGAGGCTGAAACAAGCAGTGCTGTTTTAGGACACGCCACTCATGAGCTGCGGGGCCAGGAAAGTCTCCTGGAGAGCGGGGTTTGATTTGGAAAGCCAATACGCCAGTCCGGCCTTTCGCCTACATCGCTGGGCTGCTTCTCCGCCCCAGCTGGGCTCAGTTGCAATGGAAAGGTCTCCTAAGGTGATCAGCTCCCTCCCAAGAGAAACAGCGCCAGGATCCTGTTCCTGTGCACTCCCCGCACAGCGTTTGGGGAGGAAAATGGCTTTTTTACGAATAAATAAATTTATTCATTTCTTGTTTGGTTACCTGCGCTTTACAGGCTCAGATGACGAGCACATTGAATATTAAGCTTGTGACAGCATCGCTGGTGAAGATCCTTATGGGAAAACATCCTGTAGGTAAAAAACACACCCTGATCTGTATATTCTGGGCATACTTGTGTTTGCTAGAGCCAGGGCAAAGCACAAGAGGCTAATTTTAAGCTAATTTAACATCAGCTACAATTTATTCAAACAGACAAGACCAGGAGAGGCTGTAACCACAGGCCAAGACTTCCTAAAGGATGATTTTCAGATAGGCTGACCCAGCCTGCTCCGGCATAGCCGGATTCGGGAGACAGACGGGATCAATGCTCACAAAGGTGATGGTTTTGGTCGCTGGCTGGCTGGTTAATAAAAAGGATGACAAGGGTAGGAACAGCTTGTGTGGTTTCACGTCCAATAGTGCAGAAAAGGCTTACGACAAGCTAACTATAAATTCCTATAGCGTAAATACCCAGTTTTGTATTTAATTGTGTAAATTATGTGGAAAGACTTCTGTAAAAGACTTCAAACTGTATCCAGGAAAATAGCTTTGGCTTATAATACTTTAAATACACTGCCCATTTTTATCGTACTGAAAAAACATACATTTGTATTTACAAGAGTCCTTGCTTTTTTTTTTTTTCCCCTTTCTCCTTAATGCTGCTCTAGGATGATTTTTCCTAAACCAAAATGTAAGAAGCTGAGAGACATTAAACGCAGACCTGGCAACATCAGAAGCTTGAAAACCAGCAGAGAGAGATGCTTGCTGGCCAAACCACCTCGCTTTCACAGTGTATTCTGCTCAAGGTCGTCCAGAGAAGACCGGGTCTGTAGCTTATTCTTCCCATGCTGTTTTCTGTGCCAACTGTCTATGAAACAGCTGAAACATTAATATTGGCTGGAGACGGACAGTAACCAGCTCATGCTGGCTCGGTGCTGGTCCCTGATCTCTGTACAGCATTTTTAAGTAGTTCATAGAGAAAAATGTTCAAAGTGAAAGCTCAGCAGACTGGCGAAAGGCTTCTGGTTTTAGTGCATCAGGCAGCGTTCGCTTCTGAACACCAGTTTTATGTATTTGCAAAGCATTGTATGGACCGCCCTATCGGTCGGCCTACCTCGGCCCAGGAAGGTCTGTAATAGAAATTCTGGCTCTTAAATCCAATACACTGGCCAAACTGCAGCTAGACAACCCTGTGCCACTTCTCTGCACTGGCACTGTACTTCAGAAGCTCTCCTTTCCTTCCAGCAAGCTGTGATGAGCGCACTGTTCTACCCTGGAAGAAGCTACACCACTAAAATACCTAAAAAAGATTGTCTGTACAGCTACGTGCATGTGAAAAGCTTGCAGGAACTAACTGCAATATTAAAACAAAAGCAGGTTTACACTGTAGCAACGGCTCTCTATTAAATCCCCAAATCATCCAATCAACCCTATTTCAAAGGGTCATGAAACTGCACTTCCTACCTCTCACGGGTACTTGTGCTATACACGTCTTCGTGCACAGCTAGGAACTGAGAGACAGCAACTCACAATTTGAATGTAAGGAGTAAACGCAGATGGCTTTCACTGACCCAACAGGACATTTCTAATGAATTTCAGTGGGAGCAGCTGCAAGTCCTGCAAGTCAGACAAGAAGGTAACATACCATGTGGGGTAAGACAAAGGAAAAGAGAACAAAATTGCCTTGAGAAACCCAGACCCACCAGAGACAGCACAGCTGAGTATTTCTGCAGAAATGAAAGGACTTTTTTTTGGATCGCACTAACCCAGTGACCCAAAATAGCTGCAAAATAATCTTAACCTGTTTATAAGACATTTTAAATTTGATTCTGAAGGAGAAATTAAATGAGATTTTCTCCTTTGTTCTTAGAGTTCACAACTTCTCCTGCCAACAAACTGAGTTGTTCCTGATCTGGTCTGGTCAGCCAGAGAGGCTGCTGCAGAAAATGCTGCCCCTCACTCACATTTTGCTGTCAGTATAATAACATACCCTGAAAGAGCACTGTACTCTAGAAGTGAAAATACGACAGAAGAGCAGGTGTCTGCTGCTATTAGATGACACTGAGGAGACAGACAGCAGTTTGTACCCTCCTGACTGTCAGTAAACGAGGTGCGCTTGGAAAACATACCACTTGCATGCTGTTTCAGGTACAAGTGGCTAAAATACTCCTCCTCCCATTTTCATACCGCTGTGTCCATTCGCAGCAATGCAGAGGTGTTAAGATGCATGTATCTATTCCAAGGACCTTCCTAAAAATGAACTTCCAGCTGTAGGAAAGGTTTAGCAGCTCTTCTTGCTGCTATTCTACATGCAGAGGTGTGAACCAAAATGAGAGAAGTTTAAAAGCACAGCTAACATTCCCAGCTCACACAGATGATCAGAAGCCTTATGAAATTACTTTTGCGGGCTTACCTTCACTGCCAGTTTTGGGATATGGCTACAGGAAAGAGCTACACTTCTATACTTAGCTCTGTATAAAACCATTTTTCTTTGAAATATACAAATTCCTTGCACATACAACATTTAGCAAGACATTCTAGCCTCAATGCTGCATTTTTAAGATGCTCCTTTGATACATCAAATGGGCAGTTTCAAACAGTCAGAGTTTTAACCCTCTGCAGAGTTTTGAGAGCACACATCTGAAATGTCATGTTTACACCATTCCTTGCCTCCGAAACAGGCTTTGCCAGTTCAGACTATGATGACCTGAGCACAAGCAGCGCTTGTCCTGGGTTTCTCCCTCTCTGTCTCTAAGCCAACGCAGGCTCCGAGTATCTGATGCTCAGCCATGAAACACACACTTTTAATCAGAAAGATGCAAGAGGGAAGAGGACTTACGCACAGAAGATCATGCTTCACTTTTCTTTTTATAGAAATGGCAGCGACACAGCAGGACACTTAAACCAGCTGAGGATTATATAATTGCTGTGTGCCAGGGATACAGCAAACAGATTTATTAGCATTTTATAGGTGTGGGGGGATGGCTTATTTCAAGGTCAAAGAATTCTGGTAACCGAGGCGGAGAATGTTTCAGCCCCATGGTGCAGCAAGTTTGTCGGCTAGTTTTGTTTGTGCAGTGATGAAGGAGTGAAAACAGATCCGTGTTAATAGGCTACAACCTACCCCTGGAGCAACCTTGCACCTACTTCTGCTTTCTGGACAGGAAAAGGTTTATATCAAGTCACGGACCACAGCCAGCAACTCCGAAACGGATGTGAAGAATACAGCTGCCTTTTCTTCTTTTTCTGATCGT